AGTCACCTTCGTAAAACTTTGGGGAAAAAAAAATAACTAAATCCGATGGTTATGAGCAGTAAATGTGATCAAAGAAGTGATTATTCTGTATAAATTAAACTACAGGTTTTTATTTGTGGTTGACATAGCATTTATTAAGAAGAACACCAGGTTTTTAAACCAGTCGGGTACAGAAAAATCACATTTCTAGAGAAAACATGGATGGATTGTAACTTAAGGTAGCACTAGCATGATTCACCAAATCAATCCACTCCGCTCCGCCCAGCACTCCCTCTCCCTGCTCCAATAATAATCTCTGCACTGCTGCCAGTGCTGTTCAATGAGTCTGTACCACAGGAAGATTCAACAGCACCTCTCCACATTAAGACAACTTCTGAAACATTTCTACAACTAACATATTTTTGGGGGAAAAAAAAAAAAAAAGAGTTTCATACTGTAGCTTTTAGGTCATGCATATCAAAATGATGCATTAGTGATATATTTGACGCCAATGTTATAATTGAGTCCGAGTCACCAAAGAATAATCAGCTGAGTCCCCATTACCCGAGTCATCAAGATCTACATTAAACATAACTTACACCATTACTTTTCTAACAACCGTCATTATGGCCAGTGAAATCATCAGTTGCCGACTTAAAATATTACTTGAGATAAACACGGTTAATCATCAAAGTTGTAGCTAAAATCCCGGCACTTGTGAGTTGAAATTTTGAATATAAAAACCAATCACGGCTGAGCCCAAGCTGCTCCCTGACCAGAAATGAGGTATTTCTTGGCAGCTGTCAAACGGTCACAAACATTGGTTATAATAAAAACCTAATCCTGCCCGGGGTGTGCAAAAAACACAGATGACTAGCAAAGTGTAATGACTCCAGGGCAAATATAAATGACTGCACTGTTAAAGTCACTAGTGAATTAAGTAGCTCGATTTTGCCAGTCTATGTGAAAAGACCAACACACAAAGACTCTGAGAAAATATAAATGTGCATTTCTATACTTCTATACTCTTGAAATGTCATGTATTTAATGACACACAGGAGTGAAACTGTGTGTGTGTGTGTGTGTGTGTGTGTGTGTGTGTGTGTGCGTCTCTGCAGGTGGTGAGTAGAGGCTTAATGAAAGGGCCAGTTGTTTTGTGGGGCTCATTTGCAGAGACCAGATGGATCGGTCTCTCAGTCCCTCTGGTCTCAATCTTGTCCACATTGCTGCTGTCGCCCCATTTAACAGCCAATTTCCTACCAGCTCATCACAAACACACACACACCCACCCATAAAGGAAGAAAGCAGCAAAAACAGTATGAGATAACAGACTACAAAGACAAGCATAAAGGGAGAAAGGAGGGTGAAACAGTGGGACATACACACCAACCAATCTATCCAGGCACATTGCAGATGTAGAGATATGGGTATAATCTGTGCATAAAAGCATTTAAAATACATAAAAGGATACACACAAACACATTTGTTTAGTCTTCGTAGAGACTGTACATCGACAGATGTTCATTTCCTGGAGAATTACCATAACTTTAACCATAACCACTACTTGCCCTATTCTTAACCTAAACCTTAACATTAAACCAAGTATTATCTCTAAAATTCAACAATTTACAAGTGAGGAGGCCGGGTCCCTACAATGCAAGTGCGCAAACAGGTGTTAGTCCCCACAGTGTTAGTAATACCAGGACACACAGAAAATAAACTCATAAGAGGAAGCACAGCTGGACACTATACACTTTTTAATGAGCTTACTTCAGATGTCTACCCAGGGTGCAATGCAGTTTGCGGTTGATTAATCAGGTATTAATCAAGTACTTTTTACTACATATACACACTAATCCTAATTTATCACACCAACACAATCTTAATTTATCACAAACAAAGGAATCCCAAATGACACCCCACCCTTCTATGCCATTATCTCTCTCTCTCTCACACTGTACTTATTTTTAATATCCTTCTGTATCTCGGCATTAAGTTAGGGAGGCTAATTTCTGCTTCCACTGCTTCGTCTTTCTCTCTGGCAGATAACAGCACACACCAACATTTGGCTGGTTCACACTTACACTAACCTTTGGTCTGTCATTCGCTCATATTCACCCAGACATGGCATGCTTCAAATACTGCAAAGCATGCACACACATGCTGCATGTGCACGCAGGACACAAGAGTTCTTATTTCCACTCTGGCAGTAGTGAGAAGTGGTTGGCCTCAACAAAATGACCTCTGACTTTTAATCTTCACACTTTGTCCAGAAGGAGTTTACAGTGGCACTCTTTTTTTTTTTTTTTTTTTTTGCCAAGCCGCTGGCCGTCAGGCTCTGGGTCATGTGATATCACCAGATGGGCAATGTGTTAATGACATTTCACTGGTGAGATATGACTTTGTTCATAGACATGCCGCGGTGTCTGTGCAATACAAGTACAGCCAACAATGTTGTGCGGAAATATGGAAACTAGGGGTGTGATGATACACTTGGCTCATGAGACAAGACAATACATGATAGTGGGTTCATGAGAAAGAGGCAAGACGACATTTTAACACAACTTTCATGAAATCTTCAATGACAACATATATGACTGGAAAAACAGTCTTATTTGACTGAAAGTCACAAAATGCAAAACACTGCAGGTGCATTTTTAAATGTTTTAACTAATCATCTTGTAATGAATGTCACTTCAGTTCCACTTAGAGTACGAATTATCATATGCAGTAAAAGACAACAATATGCAAGCACCGTAAAAGGTTTTGCCACAAACTCGACTGACTGGCTTCTCTCCTGTATGATTTCACAAGTCTCTTCAGACGGTGTAACTGTGCACAAACTATGCATGAGCTTCTGACTGCACTGTGTTAACCAATCACGTACAACTAGGACATGGAAGCCCACGGGAAAATACTCATTAATTTACCTTGTTAGCGTAAGCGTTAACCGCTATTCACTGTTGAATTTGGGCCACAGGTAACTTAGCACAGTGACACACCATGAATTTTCATTAGTACTGGATGTTAAACTGTGTTTTTTTTTTTTTATCTATCACTGGCTACATTAGCAGCATGGCTAACGAAAACACAACGGAAACTCGTGGGCTGTAAATGTGAATGAAGCCACTCGCCTTAACTCATCAAAATGTGGCTGTATTTTAGACACCTACAACACTCCCCCTCCCGATCAATGCAGCCCCTTGCATTAACATACAGCAGGGTGCTACATTTTTACCAGACTGCTGATATCATGAAACAGCTTTTACTTCGACAAGAAACATCATCACCCTTTAATATCACACCCCTAATGGAAACCCGTGATAAGGATCATATTTATCTCACAGTCATGTCTGTGGACAAATGACCACACTAACAGACAATGCGCTAGTTCCCCATCATGTCCAATATACCTGCTTGTTCTGTCGAGGACTGATTAGCACTAGTTTGTCTCAGTTTTCACTTCTTAATGAAGACATAACATTCTTTCATATACTGGTATGAACAGTCTCATTAGGTCAGGTACAACCAGTAGCTAATGTGAAAGGGCTTTCAGATAGGACACGGTTTGTGCTGCGCTTGGCACGGGGGTTGGGCGCACATGCGCAAATTGCACAAGTGTTGGGCGCCAGTTGCTAGGCAACCTAAAAAGCTTTCCAGGAGGTGGTTAGCAGACACTAACTAGCTTTTCGACAGCGGACTTGGATGCATGATGTACTTTATCTATCTACATGTTAGCAAAACGCTCTGGCTTTAGTTGGATTGATGAGGAGGAGGAGACGAGCTACAGCAAAGAAGAAGAGGCTGTGGTTCTGCCAAAATCAGCTTCTCCTCCATTTTCTTTGTGACTTGTCAGGTTCTCTGCAATTGGATGCGTCAAGATGTCACAGAGCGCAGTGCCCATGTTGAACTTTTTTTTTTAACTTCAGTGCAGTGCATGTTTCATAACAACTGTAACCATTACATTTAATTTAACAGTAGTCTTTGTCTTTTTACAGCACAACAAAGTAGGAAATAAGAACAGTAATTACAAAGCCTACTTAATGAAGAAGTTCAAACATGAAGAAAAATAGCCTACACAAAAAACTCAGCACCAAAGTGACCTGCTCTGTAGACGGACCTGGTGAAGGATACAGCCGCACAGAGGATGGATCAAAAAAGCATCGCAGACAGAACGTGATCTGCCACATGTGGTGGAAATTATTACACAGAATCTATTGCAGGGACATGTAAAATGCATTACAGACTGGATTGCCTATCATTCTTCTCAAGTCATCAAAAATAGCACATGAAAAAAGTGGAGTGATTTTTGTCAGTCTATGAACATGAAGTGGATTTATTATTATGTAAATTGTGCACAGTCTGTTGTTTTGCCTCACTGTAAAGTACTGTCTGCTAATAAACACCATTTAACCAAACATATACAGTATATTCACATACAGTATATTTAGAAATATACTGCATGTTTCGCACACAGCTTTGGAATATACAGTTTGTGACAAAGCAAGAACAGAGCTGCCATCTCAATGCAGACAGAAACCCACAGATATAATATTATCTTCCCACCCTGCTGTCATTGCTCAGAATCAGACCAATAATTTCCAAGCTACTGGCTGGCCCCTCTATCTCAGTCCCAGCCCACCATATCCATTCTGTTTTATTAGTATGTTGATTTATCTCTCACCACTTGACGGCAACCACAGAAAAACCAGCTTTTCAGCTGAAGGTTATATGAATGATATTCAATGGTCATACTGGTTCTGCTATGGCATTTACATTTCCATTATGTTTTCTTTGCCTCATCCTGATATTCCAGGCCATTTTATATGTGGTTTCTAGAGGTGGCGGCGGTGCAGATTTGACAAAGTGGCACATGGCAGTAAAGCACCAGCAGGACTGTGGAGAGTTATAGCATCGTAATATGCAGTGCCACTGCAGAAATTCAAGTCAGTGAAGGAATGGTTTACACACAAACACACATGCTCTGTCACACACACACTGTACACAGCACACAACGGTACCTTCTGTGCGGATGGTGAAGGGGGAGTCCCCCAGTCTCTTGGCTGAGAATTGCCCCCCCAGAGAGGTCATTAGAAAGCACAGGCTGAAGAAGCCAATTCCCACCACGAATATCCTGCAACACAAGGGGAGGAGAGAGGGAACAGAGGAGAGGGGAGTTGAGACAGATAGACATATTTATGGGGAAGGACAGGTAAATAGATGTTTTGGGTGAGTAGTTGAGAAATAAAAAAAAGGAGTAGATGAAGGCGAAAGGTGTGACAACTGCAAAGGAGGCTTTGCAAGATGGAGAAAAGGCAGACAAAAAAGATCGAGGGAAAATAGAAATGCAAACACAGGAAGAGGATGGAAAATGTGGAGGTGGGAGGAAGAGGCGAGCAATGAAGAGACGGTCAAGAAATTGCACGCAGCACTTCCAGGAGCTGGAGCAGTGAGTAAATAGAACAATGATAACGTAGAAAAGTTGAAACTGAAGCCAAAGAGCACTTGAAACATTTTCGAATGTTCATGTTATTGCTTGGCAGTTGTCCTAGATGCATGCCAAAATAAGAGCGAGCAGTTTGTCCCTGAGTGCAGGCAAAATAGATGTGATTATTTGTGTAATATCAGAAGTGGACAGGAAGGAAAAGCAAGAAGAGGACAGAGAAGAGCCAAAAACATCAAACCATTTAAGGTGAATGTACAGTAAATTGTGAATACAGCTAAAATGCCAAGTCAGCCGTCTGAATACACAACCTGGTCTCCCTCAGCCCTCTGTCCACACAAAACCTACTGTGGGTCACAACAAATGACCAGGTGATTCAGGCTTCAGTGTGAGTTACTGTCTCCCTGAGATATCAAATACATCTTCATTCACAGGCCAGTTCTCTAATCATTGCTTTGCTTTTTACAAAATTTCTTGGCAGGAGACATGATCTCAGGTGATCATATTCTAAGTACATCAAGAATAGCAGTTCATATCTACAGTGCACACCTGGCTTTGTACTAAACTTCTGCTTTATTCTACTCCATGGCACAGATCTGACATAGGAAACATTACCAAACCCCAGATGGGAAAATTCAGCCATGAGAGAATCAGATCTTTGACTTTAAAGAGCTGAAAATGATCTCTTTTGTATTTGTGTAAATCCTGTCCTAGTTAAGCTACTGTCTTCAGTGTAAATGGATCAAAGGTTATCTTCATATGCCAAGACTCTGGGGAACTAGAGAGGCAAAGCTGTCTGTGATTCTCATCCACTGGACAAAACCAAGTGACCTCCATGACTAACAAGTCAAGGCCTACTTTCAAAATGTCTGCTGCACTGCTGCTAACTCCCACAAGAGAAAGGCCTTGGAACATCTTGTAGCAGCAGTGTAGTACAAAGGCGGGGTTATATGACAGTAAAAGACTAACGATTCAGCACTTTCCTCAATCATGTAAATTAGCTGGACAAACACATTGCAATTTTTCAAAAATATTTACAAACCATCTCTAGCATATGAAGAATGCATCTCAAGCAAAAGCAGCAATGTACTAAAACACCCACTTATGTAATCTAATTATCACAATTCACTTCATAATTTAGGCCCAACCTCACACAGGTAAACTTTAAAACTTTCATGCTCTGCATCCAAGGTTGGAAAACTAAATCTCACAATATCAAAGGGAGGAATTATTCATAACTCCAAAGCCAGGCAAGAGCTGTTTGCTCGAATGCACAGCCCAGTGTGAAATCTGACAACACTTCCTGGAATGGTAAGTAGCTCCAGTCACAGGCAGGCAAAGTTCTGAGCAAAAGCTTTTAATGCTGACGAGGCCTCCTATCAACGGCGAGGATGGCCACTCAAAAGAACATTTGCTAAGATGATCTGATTGACCCAAAGGGATCAAGTTAAATAATCTGTTAAGTATAAAGCATTATGCATTATGGTTTGGCATGTGCCCAGGTCATAAGACACCCAGACAGCTTCAAGGATGAACACAGGGTTAGAGCCTCTTTGAGAGGAAGTGTTTTGCTCTTGCATACCACAAAAACAAATTGACACTGAATAATCATCAAAGCTCAAGTAACGGGTTACATCTAGTGTAATAACAGCTATATGACCAATAAATCATTTTATCTTTGTTTTGCATACATTTTGTGAGCAAAGCAATCAGAGCTGGACTCTGAGATCTTGAATCCCAGGACTGACTACACTTGAAAGTAGACAAACAATTTGTACATGAAAACATACTGAAATTAGACATCCCTTTTCTGATTATCATCTTGATTTGCTGGTGGGGGAAGGAGATTATTAAACACTTTAATGTGATGTTCACTGTGATCAGCAGGATTACAGTACAAGGTTTCAAAGCCAAGTGGCATCATGTTAACGCCATTCTCTCTCCTCATGGATCCATGTCTCACTTTAGTATGCAAATAATCACACTCTCCTCAGGCCCTCCTCCTCCGAGCTCAAAACAGTGACCGAAAACTGAAACTGGAAACTACTGATACTAGTTTAATTCAGCACTGAGCATTAGACTAAGGTTTGTAATGTGAACGCAGCCCAAGTGGAAGCTGAAAAATCAGAACCAATGACCTGATTTAGAGCAACTGTTCATGCATTTCATCAGGCCCATTACAGTATTTCATTCCCATCTTCAGTGCCTTGTATTATTACAGTAAGAAAACCTGCCCAATTGCCCAGTGACAGGCTTCAAAAGATAAGGGGTTACAGAGAGGACATGAACCAAAATGGGCTGATTTTTTTTACTGCTAACCATCAAAATTTCTAATCCACTCTGTTTCTCTGTCTGTGATCTAATGATTAATAGTCCTGTGCATGTTTGTGTGCGTGCAAGACAGCGGAAAACGGTTGCAAGGCTTGTAAACAGCACAAACTATGGGAGGAAAAAAAGTGGAAATCTTCGGTTCCTGTGGGTGTACAGAGCTGGCCTACTGCTGTCCTAGGGCGATCATTCAGATGTTTTCCCAAGTGGTGTTAGGTGGCTGATATGAAAGGATTAGGCCTCGGTCCTGGCCTGCAAGACTTTAATTAACAGGCTTAAAGTAAATGCTCTGGTCCCTTTAATTGGATCAGACAGAGAAATCTGCTATCAGCTAATTGGCTTCCTCACACATATAGTCTTATCAGATTTTGCCTTTAGGTAGATGATTTTGAAGCAAGAAGAGTTGTGCAAAGTGTGAAGGAGCCATGGTGTAGGTGTTAGCTGTGGTTTTTTTCCAAGAAACCTTTCCAGGTGCCTGAACTAGCGTCAATTCTGGGAACAATTGGGATTTCACAGCACTTATACATTGACTGCACTTTGACTTGCAAATTTCACATTAACTAAAGTATGGCAAGTAGCATTTTTGGTTATTAACACTTTCAGCTCTTGCCAGTACAAAAATGAACAAAAATGAATGAACTGACAATTTGGTTGTCCTGGTGCCCCAGAAGATGCAGTGTTTCAAATCTGGTCAGGCAACTCTCATCTTCCCCAGATTTAGTTTTTTTTTTTTTTTGGTCTTTTCTGCCATCCATAGTAAGATGACTGAAAACCAAGCTCTACTCTAGACAGAGCTTCATTTTGAAATCAATGCAGATCATCTGTGACAAGCCCCTATTATCTGTGTTGTCGAGGCTAGAATGTGTCTGAATAAACACTGCACTGAGTGGACACTCACAGGCACAAGTTTACAAAAGGCTGCTGCACCATTGCTCCAGCACCACAAGAATAATTATTTGGACACTCCAGCTACAATATTACCAGATGGTAGGTGTGTACAGTAAAAGGTCACGGGTAGTAACCACCCTTAGATCTTGTACTACACTTAGTCACTGCTCTCCGACTCCCAGACTTTACACACACACACATTTTTATATATATATGGAAATACATGAATTGAGTTAATGATTTAAAGCCTCCCATTAGTCTAAAGCAATCCTGGCAAATAAGAGAAAGCAGGCTGCCACAGCATGGCACAATGAGCTGTGAAGTACCAACTGTTTATAATGTGTAATAATGTCCTGTACATCTTCCTATACAAAGCCCAACCACACAGTAAGAGCATAATTGAGCTCTCCACGATGCAAGGAACTAAGTTAAAGCTCTGCCTACTGGAGGTACAAGCTAATTTATAAGGGATATTCCATGATTTATTATTGTGTGCCGCGCCTTCATCCACAGGAACCTAAATTTAATTCGTCTGCATGAGGAACACCTGGCGTGTGTACGCAAAACATTCTGGTTAGACATCATGCACACAATGCGTGCATTTTCTAGAGGCTATACAATTCAGTGTTGCCATAGCTCAGAGTAAAAACTTTCTATTCACTTTCGAGACATTTGATTGATAAATTAATGGCCAAACACACAGACGTAGACAGTGACAAACACCAACATTTAGCTTACTCATTACTAACAACTGCTGCTCGAGACTGAAGGGAAACTGGGTACAGAATAAGGTCGTCAGCTCTTTGTCGCTTACCTGAACGGTTTGAACGTCAGTAGACATCTTCTGACCATTATTTTACCGTCGGTGCTGCTTGTAATCATTTTCCAAAACGGGCGACCCCTGACATTGCTGTTAACCTCCCAACATAGAACTTGAGGTGAGCAAACATTTTTATCTGCGTCCCATCCAGCGGTCCACAGTCACAGTCAACTCGGCTGTTTGAAACAAAAACGGCACCCCTAAAAAAAATACTTCTTAACCACTCCAGTAGAAATGATAGAAAGTTTCATTCAGCAAGTCTTCTCTTCCGTGTCTTAAATTGTCACTTAAAGCGCCATTCCGTCGACAGGTAAACAGTGTGAATCTGGGGTGAAGTCGCTGCACGTTGTGTCGACCGTCGGAGTCATATCTGACGTCTGCTCTTGACAAAAATGGCGCTGTTGGCAATTGTGTGGGTAAAAGTGTGTGTCATTTGAAATCTGCGTTTTCTCCGTGGAGGATTTCACGGAGATGAGAGCTCGCTTCACGGACAGTTCAACTTCACAAGGAAACCAGCAGGAGTGTGACAAGTCAGCCGTAATACCTCGTACTCATGCACTTCTCAAGAGGCAAGTTACCGGTAGTGAGGTGACGGACGTCCGCTTATTATTTCAGAATAATAGCTTCGCTCATGAGTGAATAGTTTTATTAATGGCTTGTGGCAAAGTAAAATAATAATCAGTGTTGGGGAGTAGTGAACTACATGTAGGCTAATTAATTTAACTGCATTTGTAGTAGCGTCCTGGTAATTAAACTATATTACTTTTTAGGCGTTTTTCGTGTAGTTAACTTCTGAAACTACAAAAAAAAAAAAAAAATAGATTTTTTTTTTATTGCAACAGCATTTTACTATGGTGCATGTGTTTTACAAAGCTGACATGGACATTTTCAGTGCCAAACAGAATCCTGTTGGATAAGAACTTTGAGATACTGTAAGATGTGTCATATAAACAAGAGATGCTGCTCTGACAAGTACAAAGATAGGCCCATTATTCAGACCAGTGTTCAAGCTGTTCATGTTGTCTAAAAGGTGCAAGTTGAAGACAGTTTCATTTGTTTAGATTGTACAAGGCAGATGTTAAAAAACTGACAACATTTTGGTCTGTACAACCTTCCTCAGGCAAAACCCCAAATCAAATTTTTTGTCTCAAAAGACTTTACAAATAATATGTATGTTTCATCATTAATATCATTAGCCCCTAACCGGACAAGCATCAATATGGTAAATGGACTGCACTTATATAGCACTTTTCTACCATACTTGAGCAAAGCACATTACAGTTTCACCCATCCACCCATCCACACACAGATGGCAGAGCTGCCATGCAAGGCGCTGGCCTGGCCACCCGAAGCAACTTGGGGTTCAGTGCCCTTCCCAAGGACACTTCAACATGTGGACTGGGAAGAATGGGAATCGAATCACCAACCCTGTGATCAGCGGTCAACCTGCTCTACCCCTGAGCCACAAATATAGTCAGTTATAATCACTTAATGTTCAAAACTTAACATAAACCTCAAAACCTCCTCAGACCTCAGGGGGAAAACGTCCAAAATGTACTTGTACTGTGACAATAAAAGTGTGGAAATAAGTTACTTTCTGTGTTATGGATGGGATGCTGACTATAATTGTTCCTTGTTTCTACCATAGCTTGTTTAATGTTATTATGCTGAAAACAGTTTTTAATATCTTAAATTTATAGTCTATTTTATATTTACTCTGTATAATCTATAAGCTAAACCATATAGACCCCTTTGTGCAAACACAGTTTTTTTTAATATGGTAAGCAAATTAGCATTACTTCCTGTATCATTGTAGCTTCCTTTAGCCAACTTCACGGTGGTCCAGCGGCACAATAACGGGCAGATCCAGATGGTCTGAAGCTTCAGCAGTAGCATTCATCTCTGTTTGGCGCCATCCATAGCTGTTAAGGTGGAGTTGCTGCTGTGAAGACAAGGCACTCAAAAACTCAACTTTCATTGCCCCTCAGTGGACAGTGAATGTGACCGGGATACAGCAGCGGCACCCAGCGGCAGAGAGTGTTACTGCAGCCACAGTAGCCACAGCAGCAATAATGGTAGTAGTAGACGTAATTTTAATGGTATTAAAGCTTTTAGAAAACAGAATTTACAGATAAGGATGTAGTGCCGATGGCTACAGTGTAATATTGAGCTTTAGGACAACAGGAAACCACACCTCCAGCACTACCCACCCCCCACTCCCACTAAGCCTACCCTAACATTATGGCACTACTACAGTGAGAATGAGCTTTTAACAAAAGTGAGAGAGAACCCAGGTAAAACTCTATCACCTTATTTGTTCGGTTAAATGATTTGCAGTCAGTTGTGACACAGACTACACAATCTTTGTGACCAGCAGAGCATTTGAGCAGAAATGGAGGCAGAAAAAAAAGGTCTGCAGGGGGGACCAGACTGAAGATGACGGTAAAATCTCAAACTCCCTTCATGCATCACTTGTCCTGATACATGTGGATTTGACTGACAGTCCACTGCCCACACAGGCTCTCCCTCTCTGCGGGTTGTGGGAAGAGTTCTGCTATCTCTGTGGAAAGCCACTTGATAAACACTGGATTTTTACACCTTCTGTGAATGTGTGTGTGTATATAGAATCCATTTTGGTCCACGCAAATACATAATCATTCATCACAGGTACACAGTAGTAGAAATCACTGAAGTCTCAAAAGTATTCTTTCAGATGCAGAGAATAAACACGCACAGCTTCACCTCCAACAAAGCAAATATAGACATTATCCCTGGTTGACTTTTGAATAAACCATTTAGAAAGGGTAACACTATCTATAGGATAGATACATTTTAAAAGTGGGGAGAACTACAGTACCCTCTGCAGTGGTGAATTGTATCACGTCAGTGGAAGAACCAAATAGGTATGAAGTCAAATTCTAAAGAGTGGAGAAAGTATTACAGGAGCCATCACAGCTATAACATGTAGTTTTTGGTGGTCTGGTCTTCCTTCTCAGTTGGTTTCTTTTCTTCTACAGCACTTGTCACTGTCCTTAATGAGCTGTCTACCTTGAAAGAGCGTCTAGCCTTAGGCTGAGCTAACCAGCATCTGTAAAGCCACCACAGGCACAGAAGAAGTGATCTGTACCACAAAACAAAAGACACGCTTACTGTTCAGTGTATTACCTCAGGTTGTGTGTTGCACAATCAGTGTTATTGGACTTTCTTTCTGAATTGCGTTCTTGTTGCCATTGTTGTTCTTTATAAATTTCCTTCCCACTAAGTTTACTGATAGAGATGTACTGATGATTATAAAGCTAGCTCCAGGAAGGTAGAGTGTAATATGTCCTAAACAAACATCATTTAACATAGCTTTACAGTAGACTACTGTATCGGGTACTTTGCCAATGTCCGATATACCATACCCACTGTTTCCTGCTGGTCTATACACCTTGCAGATCATCATACTCTAACTAAACTAATCAGCTATAGATTTGGTTTGTGATCTATAATCAATATGGCAGTCTGCCAAATGTGGTCAAAACATTTTAGCAACCGAAAACCCGTCACTAACCCAAGATATAATTTTGTACCTCACAGGCCATATAAAATGGTAGGAATCAATAATTAATCACATGATCCACTTGTATGTGCTCACTGTGACTACTGTATGCTTTCCAAATAATACAGTAAAAATGAATTAATTTAAATAATATTTTCTAAATAGGAATATAATTTTAAATGATGGTCATACAAATTTCTAAATTCCATAACATCATATATTTCAAGCAGTACACAATTATAACAGTAATAAGGGAGCTGTAAGACCCTCACACTCTAAGACAAACACATTCACAAAAAGACAGAGCAAGTGAAATATTGATCCTGAGACAAAGTTTCTAACATATGGTATGCTTAAAACATTTTCTTACAAGATTAATGGCTAAACTGGGAGAGAAGCACAATCCATAGATCTACAGGGACAAAGGGAGGAGAGCGCACAAGGACATTTGTTTCAGCTGTTTCACAGGAACGTCTTTTATCTGGCTCACAAAGTTGTTATCAGATTTTACCCACAACAAACTCTGTGTGATACGAAGGCGGAGAAATGACTTTGAAAATAACAGTGCAGAAACACACCAGCATCAGACCATTAGGTCACTAACCTGTGTCTACCTCTCTACCTCCTTGGGGTTTGGTCAAGTTACTAGGCATGGCTGGCAGGGGCTGAGCATAACTGCCAACTGTGTCACCGGCATTTAGCCTGGGTTCAGCTACCTTTCTTCCTGCCAGTCTGTTTTCTTGCTCACGCTGTAGCTTACCAGCCACTCTCTGCCCAAGAGCTTTCAGAAAGTTTGCTTACCTATTAGAGCCTACGTTTTCCTGGAAGTCTTTGTGTCTCTGTGTTTTGGTTTGTGGACTACTGATGCATTAAATAGACAGATATATAAACATAAGTAAACTGATAAATTGCTACTAATTAAAATCTTTCAAAAGCAGTGCAGCCTAGGAAGTAATGGTATCTTTTGGCTGAAAGAAATGACATAAGATTGCTTTTTGTGTCATTCTCATATAACATGGCCTAGGTGCCAGTGTGATATTTTTTGTCAGAAGTGTTCTTGGGAACTTAGCACTTTTTTGAGTCAGGTGAGTTGTATGAGTTTCCAGCTTTTTATTTACATGCACTGATGGACTGATTAATGCTGCAAGCTGACAACACAGCTGGAAGCCGGACTCTTCTAGACTGTTTCAGTCTGAAGAGACAAGCACTGGGTGATTGGCGATCATTATCTTGTGACGTGAGGACAGCACATGGGATTATCTCAAGTATGTTTCATTTTCACTTATTGAATTATCAAAACAAATCTGTATAGAAGGAGTGACTCAAATTTGATTATTAGATAATGATAGATAAAAAGCACAACCATTTGATGATGGATAATAGAATTAATTAATGCTCAGGGCTAATCAAAGTGTTTTGATAAAGTGGTCCTCGGTTGTTCTCAATTTGCAGTATATGAAGTTAAATGCTTCCTGCAGAATAGAATATTTTCCTCTATGTTAAATGACCCTAATAATATAATAGTGTAATATAATATAATAGTGTGTAAATAGGTGTGTCTTTCTTTCCATTCAATTATGAGTTACAAAACGGTCTCATTACTTGTGTATGTATCAAAAACCCTCTTTTATTCAATGTTGTCTGTCCTGAAACAGTGCTGTAAAAGATATCTGGATAGGTCTGATGATCCTGCTTTTGGAGCTAATGGAGAAGCTGTTTATCCAAACAACAGCACAAATTGATTTTCTTTTTCTGGAGCCAGCAAAGGTCACTTCCTCATTTCTAAATGCATCTCTTTGGAGCCAAGTGTAAGAAGAGCCAGCTAAACTAACATTTATGCAGGTCACTGTAAAGGTAAGTTGCTGTCACAAGAGGAGTTGGGATGAGAATAACAGGCTGAGATCAAAAGTCCAAACTCTGATCACGTATTGCGTTATCAGTGTCATCTGCTGCAGCAAATCTAAATTAATTTTCTCTGCAAAAAGGGAAACATTGTAACCGTTGCACTTCTTAAAATGTGGCAAAGACCTGACAACACCCAATCTGC